ATTTCGGGCCTGTTTTCAAGACAACCCCTGGTTGAGCTTCAACGCCAGGGTCTGGCACGTTTCGGCATTGCCAAGAGCAGCCTCCTGGACGGGCCAGCACTGCATAGGACTGGCCCGCCCTGCATGGCGGCAGGTAGTTCCTAGGTACTTCCCAGGCACTTCRCRTGCAGTTCMGGAGGMAGGAGGTAGTCTTCAGGATTCGGCAGCAGCACTGTGGAGGAGCGCTGCAGGAGTAGTAGTAGCGCTAGCAGTAGTCTTCAGCGCTGGGCGCTAGTAGCGTTAGCAGCTGTCTTCAGCGCTGGGCGCTCTTAGGAGCTAGAGTAGTACTAGAGAGAGAGATTGGGCAAAGGCCAGGGATACTTACCTGCAGCGCCATAGCTCCAGCTTCGCCTTCGAGGTACCTGCAGCACAGCGCCAACTTCACAGGTTAGTACCTGGCATATGAGAGAGAGAGACTTCTTCTTCTTCCTCTTCTCAGTCCACCATCTCCCTCTCACCCTCTCGCTACCTGACTTCACTGCATCAGCAGAATATGAGAGAGCGGGCTTGGTGACATTTGGATCCAGACTCGACATTGGGCTACAGACATTTTGACGAGGGATTATTTGGGACTTGTAACAAAGACTTGGTGTTGACGACATTCCCATCTCTCTCCCTCCTCTTCATCTGTTTCCCCTCGTCTTCGTCTGTGCATGATTTGGACCTGGCACATTCCTCCTGTGTGTAGTGCCAGGCCCCTTCACACCTTGTGATGAGAATGATGTATGTTTGGTCTCCGTTGCAACATTGATTGGGCTAGTCCTTTGTATTCTAGCATTCTGCTGCGCTGTCTTGCACTATGTGATAGAGTTCAGTCCTGGTCAGGTCAGGACTTGTATCTAAGTCTTCCGCTGCGCCACAAGGCGCCATTTTGTATGTATCAGGATGTACATTGCTTGTTGAGATTCCACTTGCACTGCATTGTCCATTCAGTCCTTTTTATCACATTGCGGATCACCCAACTCGGCATGTAACAGATTCACACACACACACACACACACACACACATACACTGTAAATCTTTTTAACGGAGAACGCGAAAAATTGAACGCGCGTTCATCCGTTTAACGGGCCCCTAACCCCCGTTAAATCGCGTTAAACACAAAAACGGGGGTGTCGCGTCGAATTCCGAAAAACGGAATTCGCGCATTGGGCTTCGGACACATGTGCCTATGTGCTCGAACACTAAAACCAGGAAAAAAAAAAAAAACATTGGCC